TAAAAGGAATCCAGATTGAAAAAGAAGTAAAGCTCTCACTGTTTGCAGATGGCATTATACTGTACATGGAAATCCCTAAAGATACTATCAGAAAATTACCAGAGCTAATCAGTGAATTTAGCAAAGTTGCAAGACACAAAATCAATACACAGAAATCACTTGCATTTCTATATACTTACAATGAAAAATCAGAAAGAGAATTAAGGAATCAATTCCATTCACCATTGCAAGAAAAAGAATTAAATATCTAGGAGTAAACTTATCTCAGGTGACAAAAGAACTATACATAAAATTGTAAGACGCTGATGAAAGAAATTCAAGATGACATTAACAGATGGAGAGATATTCCACCTTCCTGGGTGGGAAGAAGCAATATTGTGAAAATGACTATACTACCAAATGCAATCTACAGATTCAGTGCAATCCCTATCAAATTACCAATGACATTTCTCACAGAACTAGAACAAAAAAATTCAAAATTCATATGGAAACACAAAAGACCCCAAATAGCCAAAGCAGTTTTAAGAAAGAAGAATGGAGCTGAAGGATTCATCCTTCCTGACTTCAGATTATGCTACAAAGCTAAAGTCATCAAGACAGTATGGTATTGGCACAAAAACAGAAACTTAGACTAGCGGAGCAAGATGGAAAGCCCAGAAATAAACCCACATACCTATGGGTACCTTATTTTTGACAACGGAGGCAAGAATGTGCAATGGGGCAAAGATAGCCTCTTCAGTAAATGGTGCTGGGAAAACTGGACAGCTGCATGTTAAAGAATGAAATTAGAACACTTCCTAACACCATACACAAAGATAAACTCAAAATGGATTAAAGACCTAAATGTGAGATCAGACACTGTAAAACTGTTAGAGGAAAACATAGGCAGAACACTCGACATAAATCAAAGCAAGATCCTCTATGACCCACCTTCTAGAGTAACCGAAATAAAAACAAAAGTAAACAAGTGGTACCTGATTAAACTTAAAAGCTTTTGCACAGCAAAAGAAACTACAAGCAAAGTGAAAAGACAACCCTCAGAATGGGAGAAAATAATAGCAAATGAAACAACTGACAAAGGATTAATTTCCAAAATATACCAGCAGCTCTTACAACTCAATACCAGGAAAACAAACAACCCAATCAAAAAATGGGAAAAAGACCTAAACAGACATTTCTCCAAAGAAGACATACAGATGCCTAACAAATACATGAAAAGATGCTCAACATCACTCATTATTAGAGAAATGCAAATCAAAACTACAATGAAATATCACCTCACAGGTCAGAATGGCCATTATCAAAAAGTTGACAAGTGATAAATGCTACAGAGGGTGTGGAGAATGGGAACACTCTTGCACTGTTGGTGGGAATGTAAATTGATACAGCCACTATGGAAGACGGTATGGAGATTCCTTAAAAAACTAGGAATAAAATCACCATATGACCCAGCAATCCCACTCCTAGGCATATACCCTGAGGAAACCAGGGTTGATAAAGACATTTGTATCCCATTGTTCATTGCAGCCCTATTTACAATAGCAAGAACTTGACAGCAACCTAGATGTCCATTGATGGATAAATGGATAAACAAGTTGTGGTACATATATACGATGGAATATTACCCAGCCATAAACAGGAACACATTTGAGTCAGTTCTGATAAGGTGGATGAACCTAGAATCTATTATACAGAGTGAAGTGAGTCAGAAAGAGAAATATAAATACCATATTCTAACGCACATATGTGGAACCTAGAAAAAATGGTTCTGAAGAGTTTATTTACAGAGCAGCAATGGAGAAACAGACATAGAGAATAGACTAATGGACATGGGGAGAGGGGAGGAGAGGGTGAGATGTGTGGAATGAGTAACAGGAAACTTACATTAACATATGTAAAGTAGATAGCCAATGAGAATTTGCTGTAGGTATGGCTCAGGAAACTCAAACAGGGGTTCTATATCAACCCAGAGGGGTGGGATGGGGAGGAAGTTGGGAGGGAGGTTCAAAAGGGAGGGGATATATGTATACCTATGGCTCATTCATGTTGAGGTTTGAGAGAAAACAAACTTTTGTAAAGCAATTATCCTTCAATAAAAAATAAATTAAAAATAAAAGAAAAAAAAGAATAATAAAATTTGAATTATGAACTAGAATTGTGATGATACTGGTTTTTATATTTGTATATGTATTTATCCTTATTGAGGGGATTTTCAGTGTTCAGATGGTAAGGGATCTGCCTGCAGTTCAGGAGATCCAGGCTGAATACCTGGGTCAGGAAGATCCCCTGTAGAAGGGAATGGATACCCACAGCAGTATTCTTGCCTAGAAAATCATATGGACAGAGGAGCCTGGAAGACTACAGCTCATAGGGTTACAAAGAGTTGGACACTTGTGTTTACTGAAGAACTTTATATTTTTATATAGGTTTCAGTTCTTTTCTAGCTTCCTTTAATTTGAACATAAAGGACTCCCTTTAGCATTTCTTATACAGACTGTCTAGTGATCATGAACTACCTCAGCTTCTGTTTATCTAAAAATATCTTAAGTTTTTCCTCATTTTTAGAAGGTGGGTTTGTAAGATATTTAATTCTCTATTTTTTTTTTTCAACTTTAAATATATCCCTTCACACTCTTCTGGCCTGCAAGGTTTATGTTTCAAGTTGACTTTGAAACAAAGTTGATGTATTTAATGAATATAGAACGTGTCCTGTGTCTTTTCAGTTTCTTCAAGGCTGGTCCTGTTAAATGCTTGATAAATTATATTAAAATACTGAGGGATGGCTATATCTGTAGTTGTAATCCTAAGGGCGTTCACAGGTTAATTGCTGTCCCTGAAATTAAGAAGTTGCAATCCTCATCAACAATACAAACACTCCTCCTTCTTCCAGTGATTCCTTAAGGAACTGTTTTTTGTCAGAGGTCATTCCTGCTTATCCGCTGAGATTACCATAATTAAGTGGCTAGAAGGTGCATGTCTAGATTGCTTCTTGACCTTGAGAATGATATAGTGAAAGAGACAGTCTGGTCTCAGTGATCAAGGAAACTTTGAAGAACACTGAATGCCCTTAAACAACATCTTATTTTCTAAATGACCTAGATTCAAGGGAAAAGATATAATTCTTTGAAACAAAAGGAATCCACATTTTTCAATCTCCATGGATGAAATGAATAAAAAAAAATAGCTTTTCTAGGGAGCAAAGATCTTCTTTTAAGGATATTATAGAAGTGAGTGTTAGCTCTTATTTTGTCCATATTTCATATTGCATGAATCTGTTGAAGGAACAACAATATGGATATCTCGTGATCTTTGGACTCTACTACAGGTTGGCAGTTTTAGGGAAATGATATCATAGAGATAGTATTGTGTGTATAAAAAATGTGTTTTTCAACCAAGTGTGTGTATCTGTGAGTGTATATATTTTCCAGTTCTGTTCTTGCACTGCTTTGTATTGTATCTATACCACAATATATGCTATTGAGTGTTAGCCACTGTTCTAGAGATTGAGTTGTAAAATGTCCTGTTTGGTATGTGATTATTTAATCATAGAATCTCATCTCCCTTGAATGTCTTTTGTAGTCGTTGATTCCACCTACACTATATTTGAATTCATTATGTCATGATTATCCTTCCTAATAGAACTTTGTTTATGCCCCTCTACTTTGTCTTTGTTTGTGTGTATGTGCATGTGTGTGGAGATAGATAGATTGATCAAACATAGATAGATATGAATTATCTGTCTGTACCTATATATTCAGTTCCCATAGGATGAAGGCATATATTATTCACAGTCTAGTCTAAATGTCATCTACTCAAGAAGACTTTTCTTGACTTACTACACTTAATTTTATTCCTTGCTATCATTTCTATATAACTTATCCCTCCCTCCCCTCTGGTTTAATTTTTTTTCTTATAAGTTACTTGCATAAAGCTAAAGAGTAATTTACTCATTTAAAACTAAATAATGAAAAAAGTCATATTTGCATTATCAATCATTTTTCACTGTAATAAAGCCCAGAAATATCAAAAAATATAAAACTTCAGAATATTTTATTTGTAAAATTAGTCACACAGAGTGGCAAAGGAAAGGGTGAAGTCATAGATTGACTTACTGATTCTAAAAGTTATGCCAAAGAATTCAGTATCATATGGAAAGAGACAGAGTCCATTCATTCTATTCCTACATTAAGCCTCCTTTAAATAATTTCTTGAAATTTCCATATGGCCTCTGCTTGGTCACTTTCACTTATGAAAAATTCAGTGACATGGGAGGAATACTGAATGAGAGATCAATGGAGAAGCACAAAACTGCACAAAACTGAAATATTTGTTCAAGTACAAGTGTGACTACAGATGAAAGCTTTTACTGGAAACAAAGGGACAAAGTGATACATAGGTCCTTGAGATAATATGAAATGATATAAGTATTATCTTTGTGTACTTGAGAAAACACAATAATTTGGCATGTTCTAACTCATTTTATTAATCTGAATCTCAGGAATTTAAATAAGCCTGAGTATCAATTTGAACTGTTTTTAATAGTCATTAAAGATCTTCCTGAAATATTAATAAATCTCTGTGTTTTCAGCATCTGGTTGTGGTCATCTTGGCATGGCAACTTTACCTTCAGAAGAACTGATAAAAATCAAAGAAAAAACCATCATGCCTCCTCTCAACACTTCTCATCCCTCTTCTGTCACCTTCTTGCTGATGGGCATCCCAGGACTAGAGCACCTGCATGTCTAGATAGGGATTCCCTTCTGCTCCATGTATGTGGTGGCGGTGGTGGGGAATGTGACCATTCTAGCTGTGGTGAGGGCAGAGCGAAGCCTCCACGAGCCTATGTTCCTCTTTTTGTGCATGCTCTCAGTCACTGACCTGGTCCTCTCCACGTCTACCCTGCCTCGCATGCTCTGTCTCTTCTGGCTTGGAGCCCATGACATTGCCTTTGATGCCTGCCTGACCCAAATGTTCTTCATTCATAGTTTTACTGGAATCAGGCTTCTTTTTGTCCATGACCATTGACCGTTATGTGGCCGTTTGTCATCCACTGCGCCACACAACCATTCTCACCCACACTCGCATCACTATAATGGGTATTATTGTGGTGATTCAGGGAGTTGCCTTCTTTTCTCCACACCCCATTCTGCTCAAACAGCTGCCTTACTGCAGAACACGAATCATTGCCCACACCTACTGTGAGTTTATGGCCGTTGTGAAGCTGGCGTGTTTGGACACAGGGACCACTAAGCGTTATAGCCTCAGTATGGCTACTATCATTGGCTCATGTGATGCGATTCTTATTGCTATATCCTATGTTTTCATCCTCCGCTCTGTATTCCGCCTACCATCCCGAGAAGCTAGCTTTAAGGCTTTAGGCACATGTGGGTCCCATGTCTGTGTTATTCTTGTCTTCTACTCCACAGCTGGTTTTTCCATTTTCACTCACCGTTTTGGGAAAAATATACCTGCACATATCCACATTTTTATTGCAAATATATATCTTTTGGTGCCCCCTTTTCTCAACCCCATTGTATATGGAGTAAGGACCAAGAAAATACGAGAACATGTTCTTAGGACACTAGTGGTCAAAGTTGTCTGATTGTCATTGGATCAATAAAAGAAATGGTTCAAGAATAAGTGAAAGTACAAGAGATTATGTAAGAATTGCTCCTACTCCAACAAGCTGAAATACATTTGCCACAGTGAAAGATCTTTTATTTACTAGGTGTCTATAAATTCTAAAATTTCTAACTCAACAAGTCATTTTAGCTTTTTCATGATTAAAATTGGAGAAGAGATTGATGTCTTCCTGTGTCTTTTGGAGGATAATTACAGAGACTTAATAATAAAGAAAGGGTAAAAAGATAAGTAAACTAGTTAGGCTGCCAGGGTTCAAGTCCAATATCATGTGCCTGGCTAATTTTACTGCTATTTAATTCTTCACTTCAGTTTCCTGATGTTTAAAAATGAAAATTAATAGAACCTACTTCATATGATTGTATGATGATCAAATGAGGCATGTAAAGAAGATCAGTGAAGCGGCACAGAGAAAACATTCTGTATGTTGTTTTTATCCTTCCCCAGTGAGTGATTATAATTGCTTATATTCTCTACTTTTTGTTTGTTTAAAATGTTTTAGGAAATACCCAATATATCTTATTTAATATGTCTGCAAATGTATAATATTTGTATTTTTTATATTTATATAATGAATATGTTTGATTCTGTTCCCTGTTAGCCAAATTTTTGCTAAATATCTTGAGAAAAAATATATATTTTTTAAATTTTCTGTGATGTATGTTGCTTAATATTATATCATATGTTGAAGGCCTTATTAAAGTCCTGAAGAATAATATAATGTTATTAGAGTGCAATAGACTAGTTATGAGAACATAGCAGTTGCTTTTCATTTCTTCTTTTGATACAATCATTTAGTCATTCATTCATTCATTTGTAAAATGTGTTCAGTAAATGCCTTTTTAATTGGATTAGATTTATATGGACTAATTTTTGCAACATTGAGACTTATTCTTCCATCATTAATAAGTAATGCTCTTTTTTCTCTTTTCCTTGAATAAATTTGCATGAAGAATCCATAATTAAGAATACATAATTAAGTTATTTAGAATCTTTTGATACCAAATGTATTTGGCAAGCATTATAAACTACCTCACTCATCTGTGAATACAGGGTTTCTACAGTTTTCTCTGATTGCTCAGGGCATCCTTTTTCTTGTTTTATCATATGAATTAAGGAGATAGGATCAAATTAGGGTGCTATCAACTAAATTGTAATGGCAACAGGCTCTGTTTTGTTTTATAGCACTTACATATTCTCATGTATGCTATTTTTTCTCAAATACCTTTTCTGTGAAATATCATTGTTATAACCCTCCCACTCCTATTTATAGAACAGCTCATTGTACAACTGAAAGAAGCCTTCTTATGTTTCTCTTTGTTAATGTTTATTTTTATGTTAATACTAAGGAAAAGTACATAAAGATTGATCTATCTTTCTATCAATATCAATGCTCATGTTTTTAGAGTTAGTATGGGGTGTAACTAAAAGACAATTCACTGGTAGCTTGTGTGTTAAAATTTACGGAAAATAAAATTTATCATTTTAACTATTTTAAAGTGTAGAGTTCAATGGCATTAGTACAATCTGTTGAGTAAAAAATGATGTACAACCTGAGAGTTGTGAGTTAAGCTTTATTTGGGGCAAAATGAGGACTGAAGCCCTGCGAGGCAGTCCCTTAGATAGCTCTGAGAGACTGCTCCAAAAGAGCAGTGGGGGAAAGTCAGTATATAAGGTTTTGGTGAAGGGAGTGTTCAATACTGTTAGGCACTTGTTGTACAGAAGTCTTTCTGCTAGTCACAAGGATCTGATGTCACCATGAAAGGATTTAGTGCTTTTCTAAACATGAGGAGATGCAAGGATTTAGATCATAAAATCTGTTTCTAAAAACATCCAAGTATCTAAAGACCTGTCCCACCAGATTCCTGGAGAACAGAGTGCCTCACTCCCCCTGAACTCGGAGGGTGTTGAAGGTCAACAGCCACAGTAGCACAAGGTTAAGTCTCTATAGCAGTGGATGGCAAATGCCCTTGTTGTTATTGTTGTTCAATTGTTGACCAATCTCTTGGCAAGTGCCAGTTTGTAGTTGATAATTCATATTGCTGTGCATTCAGCACCACTGTCCTTCTTCAGAGCTTTTTACTTTTCCCTAGTTCAAACTCCACATACGGGAAAACACTAGCTCCCCATTCCCTCTTCCTCACATTTTCTGACTATTATCATTCTACTACCGTCTCTATGAATTTGGCTACTCTATGTATGTCATGCAAGGAACCATTCAATATTTGTCCTTTTGTGACTGACTATTTCACTTAGCATACTGCCTTCTAAAGGAATATGTGCCACCTAAAAGTTGAAAGTTACATTTTATTTGGCAGGGATGTTAGGACTTGAGCCTGGTAGACAGTATCTCAGGTGACTCTGAGAGAGCTAACTCTGAGGAGGCAGAGGAGGATTCAGGCTATATATAAGTTTGTATCATGGGGCAAGTTAATCTAAATATTAAAAGATTATTGTTAATTAAGAGAAAACCTCTGGTGGCTCAGATGATAAAGATTTTGTCTGCAATGCAGGAAACCTGGGTTTAATTCTTGGGTTGGGAAAATCCCCTGGAGGAGGAAAGAGCAACCCAGTTGTTTGCCTGGGAAATCCCTATAGTCCATAGGGTTGGAAAGAGTTGGACATGACTGAGCGAGTAACACACACAAGAGAAAACCAAATTTCTCATATGAAGAGATTTCGTGATCTTCTACGTATAGGAGGATGCAAGTGCATGGGCTTGCTGAAATAATTTCTTCATATGCATCTAGCTTATCTGGGGCCAATTCTGCTTTCTTTATTGTTCACATACTAATAACTTGTTTACCAGAAGAAATGGCAAATGTGGTGGATGGCCACCTTTCACATCCCTCCAGATCCTCAGGGGAGAAAGTAGCTGATGACTTTCAGATAAGTGGCTTTATTTCACCTGGGTTCAGAAATTTACATTTGGAAAAGACTTGTTACTGCAACAAGGAGGGATGTGAAAGGCAGGATCGTGAACTCCTTATTGCAAAATTCAGACAAATTGAACAAAGTAGGCAATACCTCTAGACCATTCAGGTATGACCTAAATAAAATCCCTTATGATTATACAGTGGAAGTGACAAATAGATTCAAGGGATTACATCTGATAGAGTTCCTGAAGAACTATGGATGGAGGCTCATAACATTGTATAGGAGGCAGTGATCAAACCCATCCCCAAGAAGAAGAAATGCAAAAAGTCAAAACGGTTGTCTAAGGAGGCCTTACAAATAGCTGAGAAAAAAAGAAAAGTGAAAGGCAAACGAGAAAAGGAAAAATATATCCAACTGAATGCAGAGTGCAAATAATAGCAAGGAGAGATAAGAAAGCCTTCTTAAGTGATCAGCACAAAAAAAGAGGAAAAAATAGAATGGGAAAGACGAGAGATCTCTTCAAGAAAATTAGAGATGCCAAGGGAACATTTCATGCAAAGATGGGCACGCTAAAGGACAGAAATGGTGTGGACCTAATAGAAGCAGAAGACACTAAGATGAGGTGGCAAGAATACACAGAAGAACTATATGAAAAAGATCTTAATGACCCAGATAACCACAATGGTTTGATCACTCACCTAGAACCAGACATCCTGGAATGTAAAGTCAAGTGGGCCATAGGAAGCAACACTATGAACAAAGCTAGTGGAGGTGATGGAATTCCAGTTGAGCTATTTCAAATCCTAAAAAATGATGCTGTGATAGTGCTGTACTCAATATGCCAGCAAATTTGGAAAACTCAGCAGTGGCCACAGGACTGGAAAATGTCAGTTTTCATTCCAATTACAAAGAAAGGCAATGCCAAAGAATGTACAATCTACCACACAATTGCACTAGCAAAGTAATGCTCAAAATTCTCCAAGCTAGGTTTCAACAGTATGTGAATCGAGAACTTACAGATGTTCAAGTTGGATTTAGAAAAAGCAGAGCAACCACATATCAGATTGCCGACATTCATTCAATCATAGAAAAATCAAGAGAATTCCAGAAAAACATCTACTGCTACACTGACTACACTAAAGCCTTTGTCTGTGTGAATCACAACAAACTATGGAAAATTCTTCAAGAGATAGGAATACAAGACCACCTTATATAAATTATCTGTGATCCTGGGAAGTATAGTTGGTAAAGTTCACCTCTTGCAGGGAGGAAGCCACTTCTAACTCCATGTTCGAGACTGTTTCTTGGACTTGCTTTTCCTTGCTTTAATCATACATAATAGCTTGCCTCAGAGGACCCTGCCCCTATGCCTGACTGTAAACTTAAGTGCCTTTGTTCAGCTCATAGAGAGCTAATCTGTCCCTGTCCACCTGTGAATATAAGAGATGAGCACACCCCTTCCAAAGGTTGGTCATTCCCTTGGAGATATTTTGGAAGACTAAAGACCCTTGCCCTTTACTTCCCAGCAGCCTCTGCCTCTCCATTCTGTCTTTTGACTTTATTTCTGTGTTGCTTTCTCTCTGACTCTACAAAAGAACCTGGCATCCAGACCCTGATGAGATGGTTATTTTGAGGCGCTAGCCTGCCATCTTTTCAGTCAGCTGGCTCCTCCTCGTCTCAGCACCTTGTCTCTTGGATTCATTGGCCTGTCCTACAGAGAGCAGAGCTAGCTTGGACTCAGTAACACACTGCTCCTGATATTTACAGAACAAAAGAGAAGGATGCAGAGCAACGTCTGTAGGAAAGCATATCAAATCTTTGCATAACATTCCAACCAAAACTGAAATAGGGATGCTCTTGTACATGAAAATAATGCATATCTTTTACTTGATCAAATAGATAAGTCTAGGGGGATGCAGGAATAGGAACATGGCTAGGTGATGTCGTGGAGTTTTAATTGTTCTTCAGAGGTAAATCTGATTCAGGTGAATTACTTAAGAATATCTGGAGGCATGTGGGGATATTACAGTGATTACCCTGATTAATTCATAAAATTATTCCTCCATGATATCTTCAACTTCTTCT